AGAAAGACACGTAAGCAAACACTATAACATATTTATTAGAAAACGTTTCGGTCCTGGGACCTTGATCACTTCTAACATACAGAGGTAGAAAGATATTATATATATAGGCGGAGAGTGAGATGTGACGCACGTGACCTGAGGAATGTCATAAGAACATAAGAAAGGAGGAACACTGTAGAAGGCCTACTGGCCCATGCGAGGCAGGTCCTTATAATGTCTTTCTACCTCTGTATGTTAGAAGTGATCAAGGTCCCAGGACCGAAACGTTTTCTAATAAATATGTTATAGTGTTTGCTTACGTGTCTTTCTAAACCATATCTTACCCTAACTGCCTCCTCTTTTAGTTTATAAACCTTCACCTCTCTCTTCCCTGATGCTTCTATTCTCCTTGTATCCCAACTACCTTTTACTCTCAGTAGGGTAGTTACAACAAGAAGTGAACTGATAATCTGTGGTCCCTCTATACATGTACATCCTGAAGTCTACTCACCAGTCTTTTATCTACCAATACATAATCCAACAAACTACTGTCATTTTGCCCTACATCATATCTTGTATACTTATTTATCCTCTTTTTCTTAAAATATGTATTACCTATAACTAAACCCCTTTCTATACAAAGTTCAATCAAAGGGCTCCCATTATCATTTACACCTGGCACCCCAAACTTACCTACCACACCCTCTCTAAAAGTTTCTCCTACTTTAGCATTCAGGTCCCCTACCACAATTACTCTCTCACTTGGTTCAAAGGTTCCTATACATTCACTTAACATCTCCCAAAATCTCTCTCTCTCTCCTCTACATTCCTCTCTTCTACATTCCTCTCTTCTCCAGGTGCATAAACGCTTATTATGGCCCACTTTTCGCATCCAACCTTTACTTTAATCCACGTAATCCTTGAATTTACGCATTCATATTCTCTTTTCTCCTTCCATAACTGATCCTTCAACATTACTGCTACCCCTTCCTTAGCTCTAACTCTCTCAGATACTCCAGATTTAATCCCATTTATTTCCCCCCACCGAAACTGCCCTACCCCCTTCAGCTTTGTTTCGCTTAGGGCCAGGACATCCTACTTCTTTTCATTCATAACATCAGCAATCATCTGTTTCTTATGTTATCTCATCTTATCATGTCACTGTCAAGGGTGGACTGAGGCTTGTTTTACATGCTTCAAGGGAACTTATTATTACATATTATTATTATTATTATTATTATTATTATTATTATTATTATTATTATTATTTTTATTATCACACTGGCCGATTCCCACCAAGGCAGGGTGGCCCGAAAAAGAAAAACTTTCACCATCATTCACTCCATCACTGTCTTGCCAGAAGGGTGCTTTACACTACAGTTTTTAAACTGCAACATTAACACCCCTCCTTCATTATTATTATTATTATTATTATTATTCTTTTATTTTTTATTTTTCTTATTATTATATACTTACACATATCCAGAACATTGCTGGGACCTATAAATACCTTGTATATATTCTAAGACAATAGTAAATGGCCAAGGCAGGTGTAAATGTCCACCTGTCAGTGTGTTTGTGACAATTTGAGTACAATTTGAGTACCTAATACTAGTGTCAGAACAAAGATTGGTTATGAAATGACAAGTACTACTATAAATTATAATTATTTATTATCACACTGGCCGATTACCACCAAGGCAGGGTGGCCCGAAAAAGAAAAACTCACCATCATTCACTCCATCACTGTCTTGCCAGAAGGGTGCTTTACACTACAGTTTTTAAACTGCAACATTAACACCCCTCCTTCAGAGTGCAGGCACTGTACTTCCCACTGTACTTATTAGAACATAAAAATTATATAAAATAATATGAAAAGTAGAAAAAAAGGTATATCGGCAACACTTCTGCAAGCAGCAGGACTCGATGTTGCTGTCACTTGAGCATCTAGTGCCAACTTCTCGGCCTCATATCTCAGTGAGTAGTGACTCCAATTTTTTTTATCCTGTAACACTTTGAAAAATGTGCTCTTTATTTCCATAAAAAAAATATATATTTTTTTTTATTTTTCAAAATGTTCGGGGCACTGGGATAGTGAACGTATATATACGTTTGGACCATTTACGGGTTAAAAGGGGAGTGTTAACATGACATTACATCAGTGAATCCTTGGTGTTTGCCACACTGCTCTAGCTGTCGCTCATTTTAACTGGCGCTCCCACAAGGTACTAAGTGGTCCCAGATATTTTTAATATGGTGCACACCAAGTGTTAAGACCCATTTTATGCTGAACCGGCATCTCAGGCCAATCTTCCGAAATTTGGAGGGAGGAAAAATAAAATGTAGATATACGTTTGGGGCACTAGCGGTAAGAATGTATACAGTGGAACCCCGGTTTGCAATGGCATCGGTATCCGATAAATCCGGTATTGATACATTTTAACGCAAAAATTTTGCCTCGGTTCCCGTTAAAAAACCCGGTATACGCGATTCGTCCGAGACGTGTCCACATAACATTGTATCAATCGCATCTGCTAGAAAAATGACAGGATGGATAATGAGAACCTTCAAAACTAGGGAGGCCAAGCCCATGATGACACTCTTCAGGTCACTTGTTCTATCTAGGCTGGAATATTGCTGCACACTAACAGCACCTTTCAAGGCAGGTGAAATTGCCGACCTAGAAAATGTACAGAGAACTTTCACGGCGCGCATAACGGAGATAAAACACCTCAATTATTGGGAGCGCTTGAGGTTCCTAAACCTGTATTCCCTGGAATGCAGGAGGGAGAGATTACATGATTATATACACCTGGAAATTCCTAGAGGGACAAGTACCGAACTTGCACCACGAAAATCACTCACTTATAACTAAAGCAATAAGACTTGGCAGACGATGCACCATCCCCCCAATGAAAAGCAGTGGGTGTCACTAGTCACGTTAAGAGACATACATAAGTGTCAGGGTCAGAGACTGTTCAACTGCCTCCCAGCACACATAAGGGATTACCAAGAGACCCCTGGCAGTCCTTCAAGCTGGCACTGGACAAGCACACCTGGAGTCAGTTCCCCGTATCAGCCGGGCTGTGCACGTACATTGGTTTTGCGTCAGCCAGTCAGCAACAGCCTGGTGATCAGGCCTCCGATCCACCAGGAGGCTCAGGTCACAGACCGGGCCTGCGGGGGCGTTGACCCCCCCGTGAACTCTCTCCAGGTAACTCCAGGTAAATGGACCTAGGGTTTTACAAGCCAGCCAGTGTGCTCGTCATCTTCTAAGGATACATTTGGTACATTTCCATATTAACACAGTGTTTTTGGTGCTTGTTTCTGCAAAATAAATCTCCATCGCCCCAAGAAAGCTTCTAGTGCCAACCCGTGTTAAAAAGGGTGGAATATATGTAAATTAAGAAAATTTTGAAGGGTTTGGGCTAACCCTGAGAAGCCTATGCCATTGTTGAATCCATTGTGCCTAGTTCAAAATAAGGAAATGTGTGCCAAGTGGTTGAACTGCAAACCTTTATGGATGAAAAATCACCCTAACACAGCTATTGCAAGCCATGGCTGTGACTATTACAATGAACAATTTTGTGGCCCATTTTAGACAAAAATCGTAAAGGAACAGGTAGTACAGAGCTCGTAGGACGAGTTTGTGTGTTTGTGCGACAGAGGTCCAGTGACTCAAGCTGGTCCAATGGCATTAAAAGAAGGGAAGTAACCCCAGAAAAGGACTTGCTGCTACCTCAAGTCCTAATGGAAGGGGATTCCCCTTCTAAACATTAACAACTTTAACACTCTCCCCTCCTCCCATCTCATCAATCATCACCAGATCTTCATTAAAGGTAAGAGTCATGTATTCTATTGTTAGCAGAGTACTACAAACTGTGCATGTCTTCTTCAGTTTGTGTGCATTAAACTTAATATTTCAAATGGTAAAAATTTTTTTTTCATACTTTTGGGTGTCTTGCACAGATTAATTTGATTTCCATTATTTCTTATGGAGAAAATTGATTCACTTTTTGATAATTTTGGTTTACGATGAGCTCTCAGGAATGGATTAATATCGGAAACCAGGGGTCCACTGTATATATATACGGGTTAAAGTACATTACTGGTGTAATGAAAAGTCTACCAATAAATTATTTATGACTCAAGAAATCGTAATGACACGATTGCAAATAAACGCGACGGGCTGGAGTTTTGAGACTCTATGACCGCGGGTTCAATCCCGGCCGGGGGTATGGTTTAATTATTTATAGAGTGGTTCATGGAACCTGAACATATAATGATAGTTTTTATATAGTGCATATACTGGAATTATAGCAAATTCAATACAATAAGAATCAAGAAGCATTACATATCAGTCAAATCATATATTCTAAAATTACTGGTTCTCATTCTTCACTTGTGTACATCATTCTTCACTTGTGTACATCATTCTTCACTTGTGTACATCATTCTTCACTTGTGTACATCATTCTTCACTTGTGTACATCATTCTTCACTTGTGTACATCATTCTTCACTTGTGTACATCATTCTTCACTTGTGTACATCATTCTTCACTTGTGTACATCATTTACTCAAAATATAATGGCAGTTCTCTCTAACTGGTATTCACAAGACTATAATGCGGAGATTTTCTTGATTAACTTTACAAAAAAATAACATGACCAGAGGTTCCAGTTACTTGATATACAGTACAGTGGACCCCCGGTTAACGATATTTTTTCACTCCAGAAGTATGTTCAGGTGCCAGTACTGACCGAATTTATTCCCATAAGGAATATTGTGAAGTAGATTAGTCTATTTCAGACCCCCAAACATACATGTACAAACGCACTTACATGAATACACTTACATAATTGGTCGCATTCGGAGGTGATCGTTATGCGGGGGTCCACTGTATTGTGGTTTTTTTATGTAGAAATCAAAGAATGGATGTATTTACTGTACATGTATTTAAGTTTCAGGTTAATAGTAGTTCAGATGTATCTTAATTGTATATTGCTATTCTCTCAACAGTGCATCCACCGTGACCTTGCTGCACGCAATGTTCTAGTCAGTGAAGATCGAATCATGAAAATTGCAGATTTTGGTCTGGCACGAGACCTTCACAGTCAAGATTATTACCGAAAGACAAGTGAAGGGCGACTACCTGTGAAATGGATGGCACCAGAGGCACTATTCCACGGAGTATATACTTCACAGTCAGATGTGTGAGTTTTGGAATTTACCTATCATTCAAATACACTACTCCCCCCCCCCCCCCCCCCTCCCCCCCACACACATACATGATGATTCAGAATGGAGCCTGCGGTCATGATTAATGAACAGAGGAACTGTTTAAGTGCCTGAAATATCTACATTTTTTTATTTTGGACGTCTTGTTTTTTAAATTGAATTGTTGTAATTTTGTGTTAAAATTGGCCAGTTGCCCATGGGTAGTTTCTTTGTGCTCATCAAGGCATAGATAATGAAATGGCTAAGAATTGTTGAATTGGACATTTGGAAATGGCTTGAAATAGTAATCACTGATGAATAAATTATGCTCAGATCGCTAAATTGCGCCTACAAGATTCTGTTTAGTTTTACACTAAATTTCATGCCTTTTGGAGTCATGTTGGGAAGATATCTTAAATGACATGGGATCCAAACCAGTGTCTTGAAAGGATCAACTTCCTGGCAGCTCAAGCGTTCTAGGCATATTCCCCCAAGAGAAGAAGAAGAGCAGGAGTAAGCTGGAGAGAAAAGACGCTCCCCTCTTCAGAAGACCGACGAATAGTCACTGAGCACCTCAGAAGTGCTAGAATAAACTGATACACAAAAGGAGGCGCTGACCAGGGAAGTGGAAACTATTGGACTTAAGTTAAATGACTCTTAACAGGAACAGGAGAGACAGGAGAGCTTAAAGAACTATAGTGAAAATGACAGAAATTCAAAATATTTCTTTTCATATGCCCAAAACTAGGCAAAAACCACATCTAGATCGGGCCCTTACTCAACAGGAAGGACTAGCCACAGATGACAACAAGAAATGAGTGAAATACTGAACATCCAGTACGACTCTGTGTTTATGAGCACTAATCAGTCTGAGGAGATCGATGACCCAAATGTGATTTCTTCATGAATGAGCCTCATAACTCCGTAAATGTATGCCAAGATTTTCCGACATTACCCTTGAACTCTATAGACTCTTCGAAAAAGCCATTGACAACTTGCCCGTGACCACTCTGCCCCCCGAGCCCAGACTCGTGGAAACTCTGTATTCATTAAGAACTGCAAGACACCCCTCTCGCGTGCCCTCAGTACACTATGAGTGAGGAGCTTGTGACATGGGTGAAATTCCAGTCACCTTAAAACAATGGATATAGCCCCACTCCATAAAGGTGGCAGCAAAGCATTAGCTAAAACTATAGACCAATAGCTCTGACGTCCCACATGCAATAAAAATCTTTGAAAGAGTGCTAGAAGCAGATTGCAAATCACCGGATTCCCAAAAATCGCACAATCCAGGGCAACATGGGTTTTCAGGGCCGGTCGCTCCCGCCTCTCACAACTACTGATCACTATGATATGGCCATGGAGGCACTGGAAGAAAATCAGAATGCAGATGTAGATATACACAGACTTTGCAAAAGCGTTTGACAAATGCAATCACGCGTATAGCGCACAAAATTACCTGCTAAAGGAATAACTGGAAAAGAGGGGAGATGGATCTTCAACTTCTTAACAAATCGAACACAAAGAGTAGCTGGTTGACAGAGTTAAATGAAGGTTGCCATAGTTGAATAGCTCTGTTCACAAGGCACAGTACTTGCCCCCCACCTTAATTCCTCATCCTCATAACAGGCATAGAGATATTCAACCACACATCAGCACCATATCATCCTTTGCGGATGATACTAGGATCTGCATGAAGCCGTCACCTGCTGTGGACACGGTCAACCTCCAAGAAGATATAAACAAAGTTTTCCAGTGTCAACGTAAACAATGTGATGTTCAATGAGTGACAAATTCCAACTACTACTCCGTTATGAAAACTGGAGGGAGATAATAACTAGACAAGTATAACTACAAACTCTGCCATACAATATGAGTTGGAAAAAATAATATAAGGAACGCTGGGAGTAGTAATGTCCTGAGGATCTCACTTACAAGGATCCAGCAAAAATTGCCACTATCACAATGCAAAGAAAATGATAGATGGTAATGAGAATGTTCAAAACGAGAGATGCCAAGGCCATGATGATCCTTTCAAATCACTTGTTCTCTCTAGGCTGGAATACTGCTGTACATAAAATTCATCTGCAATTTTTCACCTGCTTTGAATGGATATCTAGAGAATGTAAAGATAACTTTACTGCACAATAAGTTCTGTCAAGCACCTTAACTACTGGGAATGCTTGGAAGCATTTGACTAGTACTCGATGGACGCAGGGGAAGAGATGTATCAAAATCTACACTTGGAAAATCACCCCCTGGAAGGAATGGTCCCAAATCTGCACCCAAAATCACTCCCTAAGAAAGTAAGACTGGGCAGCGATGCAAAATACCCCCAATTTAAAAGGGGCACCATTGGTACACTAAGAGAAAACACCATAAGTGTTCGGGGCCCAAGACTGTTCAACAGTCTCCCATCAAGCATTAGGGGAATTACCAATAAACCCCTGGCTGCCTTCAAGAGAGAGCTGGACAGATACCTAAAGTCAGTGCCAGATCAGCCGGGCTGTGGCTCGTACGTTGGACTGTGTGCGGCCAGCAGTAACAGCCTGGTTGATCAGGCCCTGATCCACCGGGAGGCCTGGTCATGGACCGGGCTGCAGGGGCGTTGATCCCCGGAATAACCTCCAGGTATCCAGGTAACCTCCAGGTATCCAGGTAACCTCCAGGTATCCAGGTAACCTTCAGAAAAAGATTAACATTTCTGGAGAACAAATGTTTTTTGTTTTTTCCCTTGGAAAATCTGGACACTGTGAATGCTGGAAATTTTTGGGTTTTGGACAGTGAAGGGGCTAAATGATTGAAAAACAGCAATAGGAAGATTAAGATGTCACAATTTCAGTTATATGTACAATAAATGGAACAGTAGAAGTGATAAGAATTATTATGGCACATACATTGGACTACTATACATGTTTCTCTCTAAATCTCTATAGTGTCTGCTGTCTTACTGCATGTCTCTCTAGTCGCTTCTGTCTTGCTGTTATCAAACTCATTCTTTAGCTTCATTTGGCATGTGAATTCTCTTGCTGGTCAGACACAATGAGGGTTCACACACAAATTGGGAGTTGTCACAGCTGCTCTTTGCTGATGACACTGTGCTCTTGGGAGATTCTGAAGAGAAGTTGCAGAGATTGGTGGATGAATTTGGTAGGGTGTGCAAAAGAAGAAAATTAAAGGTGAACACAGGAAAGAGTAAGGTTATGAGGATAACAAAAAGATTAGGTGATGAAAGATTGAATATCAGATTGGAGGGAGAGAGTATGGAGGAGGTGAACGTATTCAGATATATGGGAGTGGACGTGTCAGTGGATGGGTCTATGAAAGATGAGGTGAATCATAGAATTGATGAGGAAAAAAGTGATGGTGCACATAGGAGTCTGTGGAGACAAAGAACTTTTCCTTGGAGGCAAAGAGGGTAATGTATGAAGAGTATAGTTTTACCAACCGCTCTTATATGGGTGTGAAGCGTAGGTGATGACTTTGCAGCGAGGAGAAGGCTGGGAGGCAAGTGGAGATGTCTTGTCTGAGGGCTAATGTGTGGTGTGAATATAATGCAGAAATTCATAGTTTGGAAGTTAGGAGGATGTGCGGGATTACCAAAACTGATTGTCCATGAGGGCTTGAGGAAGGTTGTTGAGGTGGTTTGGACATGTAGATAGAATGGAGCGAAACAGAAAATTACTTCAAGAGATGTATCAGTCTGTATGGAAGGAGCGGCTGGGTAAAGGGGTCGCTAGGAAAGGTTGGAGGGAGGGGTAAAGGAGGTTTTGGTGTGCGAGGCTTGGGACCTTCCAGCATGCATGCGTGAGCGTTTTGAGAGTGAAAGGAGACAAATGGTTTTTAATACTTGACGTGCTGTTGGAGTGTGAGCAAAGTAACATTTATGAAGGGATTCAGGGAAACCGGCAGGCCGGACTTGAGTCCTGGAGATGGGAAGTACAGTGCCTGCACTCTGAAGGAGGGGTGTTAATGTTGCAGTTTAAAAACTGTAGTGTAAAGCACCCTTCTGGCAAGACAGTGATGGAGTGAATGATGGTGAAAGTTTTTCTATTTCGGGCCACCCTGCCTTGGTGGGAATCGGCCAGTGTGATAATAAAATATAAAAAATATGTCATCCAGAATGGAGCTCCTCACAGTAGCTTAAGCATACTGTACCCATATTCTCTTCCAGGGGTCCTAGCCAGGAACCTCCTGAACTCTCCTCAGTACACTTGCATCTTCCTATTGTTCTTTCATATTCTAATCTGATGCAATCCCTCATTCATTGCTATAGCAACAAAAACATTTTAAGTTACCTCCTAACACCATTTGTGTTGGCAACAGTTATGTTCATGATGTATAAATAATATTTTTCCAATACTGATAATAATTTTTGATGCTGCAGGTGGTCATTTGGTATCCTCTAATGGGAAATTATGACAACTAGAGGTATACCTTATCCAGCAGTACCAGTTGAAAAACTTTCCAATTGTTGCGAGAAGGATATAGAATGGAAAAACCTCAACTGTCCACTTGACATGTAAGTATTTATCTGTTTATTAGTTTTACAAGGAGGAGTAATTTCTGGATGTAAATGATGCATTTGCCATGCCTCTTTGGTATATCTAAAAGAAAATTAACTAACATAATTGCAGTGTATGAGATGCATTAGTTTCCTGGTAAATTTCACAAGACTTCAACTGATTTACTTGAAATGTGGAAAGAATTTTGCATTTGTGTTGTGTGTCCTCCTTATTTAACTTCATTTAGTTTGCATATCAAAATGTCTTATTTTGGCTTCAAATTTTAAAGGTTACTATTATACACTTATTTGTACCTTGACATAAGCAAATGTGAAATAAGCTTTAAAATACCTTAGTAGACAGTTCCTCAAGTTCACACCCTTTTCCCTATTTAAAAAAAAAAATGTTATATATGTAAAGAATATGGAAATGCAGTTCTCTGGCAGATGATGGCCCCATCAAATGTATTCCCATGCTTCTCTGATATCATACATTTAAACTCCTGTAAGGACTTGTGGAGAATTATGGCTTCCAAATAGCAGTGACTATTGTGTTAGAATAAAGCAATGAAATTGGAAAACCAGGTGAGACATGTTTTGGAGTACAGACTGGAAAAAAGTAGTCAGTCATAATAAAAAACTGCACTTTCATATCTGTTACCATCTTGACAAACATAAATTTTAAATTAGAAAAAGATGTGCATATACAGTGGACCCTCGAATTTCATTATCCCTTTTCCATATGTAAAACTATAGTTATTTTTATAAAATGTATTTTTTGTTAATATTTCCATAAGATAATGTAAATCAGATAATCCAGACACTCAAAAATATTAACAAAAAATACATTTTATAGAGGACAACTATAGTTTTACATACCGAAAAGGTGTCCACAAACATTACCGTGATTTCAAACAGGTATAACAATGTAACATTTAATTGGAATAATCTTTGAACAGTTAGTATCTTCAGATGCAGGATTTCAACAGTTTTCATGTGTATAGGTAGCATTAAAGGCACTCGATGTGCACGCCCTCTGTTGCTGGTCGGCAAACATCGATGTGGTAGATCCAGTTCAGTCACAACACTGCAGCATATCTGGCTAATCGTGCAAACTGCTCGGGATTCGAATTTTCAGCTCCCTCCAGGGTTGCAGGTAGTGTGTACGTAAACTTTGCTCTTCACGTACCTCCATAAGAAAGAAGTCGAAACATGTCCGAACCTCGCAGGCCAACTTGCAGAGGTCAACGACCTAACTGTTTTGTGACTTCTTCATTGGTTGGACCATGAAGATCAAGAGTTTAACATACTCCACTACCTGCAACCCTGGAGTAGCTGAAAATTTTGATACACTAAGCAGTTTGCATGATACACCAGATACACTGCAAGTGTGTCTGGACCGAACTGGACTACCGCATTGTGTTTGCCGAGCAACCAGAGGGGCGCACACTGATGCTTTTAATGCTTCCCTAAACCACATGAAACTGAATTGAAATCTTGCACCAGAAGGCTACTAACTTCCCAAAGAATATTACAAAAACTTACATGTTATACTGTTTGAAATTAGGGAACTTTTTTGTGGAACACGTAGTATTAACAGTAACACAAGAAGTCTCTTGATTAACAGAAGGGTCGCATATTTAAATAGGAAAAATTTGTGAATACTTGTAGCAAATTAGTATTTTCCCATAGATTTACAGTGGTACCTTGTATACATCTTAAACCGTTCGAGGACCTTGGATTGATATCAAACAGGACGTATAACCAAATTGAATTTTCCCCGTAAGAAATAACATGAAAAACAATTAATCCGTTTCCATGAAAAAAATCCCTATTGTTATTGGTATATTATAACACTGATTGGGTTGTATGAAAAATATTTTAAACATGCGTTTCTACCTAAAATAAGTAATTTAAAAAACACTGCTTATTGTTGATCGTTGGGACGTCGTGGTGTGTTGTGCAGTGGGATGTGGTGGAGGGGCATACATAAGAAGAGAGGCGCGAAGAGAAATTAATTGAAATAAATGCAAATTGATAACCTCGCTTATCTTTGGGTAGTGCAAAGGACATTTGAGTGCCAACTAAGATAAGCTGAGAGCTGAATGCGGATGGGAATGTTACGTTGGAAGGGAGAGTACACCGCTACGTGCTTGGCCTCTTTTTCCCCTATTTGGACCTGGTTGAAACTCACGCAGGTTTGACTTTTGGCTTAAAATCTGCCCAAAGATCTTTGCTTCTGCCTTCTCCTCAGATGGTTTCGGAATGTGTACATTGTCTGGTCATTCCAGACAATGCTATTACGGCTTGTTTATGGGCTTCTGTTGGGGTGGGTACTTCTCTGCAAAAGTTTTTGACGTCCATCCATTTGGGCAAGATTTTCCTTGATTAAATTAAGTCGGGATTCCTCTAATCCCTCTTCTGAGCCTGAAGAGAGTGCATTCATCGTAGTCTTGTGCTCCTCCTCATCAGGTTCCTGCAGCTCTCAAGTTGTCAGCTCTTTTTCCCTGTGTCCCTCACTATGGACACAGTCGCTTAAACCCCTTTCAGGGTCCACAGGCCCTCTCAGGGTCCCCCAAATTTCAATAAAAAAAAAAAAGAAAAAAAAGTTTCTTACGGAAAGATAGTTTTTTTTAAAACATTATAGGCTAAACAAAAAATTTTAACCGACCAAACATAACCAAGATATTGAGTCGTGAAGTTGACAGAAAATGCCCAGCGTTATATGGTAACAATTCGCCGACATGCCATCACCCAGTATATTTTTTTTCGCAAGTATCTTTGATGGCCTGTGAGACCAATAAAGCACTATTTATAAGTTTTTTCTCTTTATTTTACTACACAATAACTTCCACAAACACCTGTTGTCCTTATATTGTTTATAATTGTTATGTTTTTCACAACACAAAACGATATAAAATGTTGTTTATTAACTAATTTTACTATATTTTATATAGCACACATACAGTCCACAGTGAATGTTTCCTTAGATAGTTTCTGCAGCCTGTGGAAGTCTTTGATAACATGTGTCATGCAACATGTGTTGTACACTCCTCACACATAAAACGAGTGCTCTGTAGTTGTTGTTGCTCGTTTTTTTTGTATGTGCACAGACGTAACACCTCTCCTGATCCTTTTTATCTTGAAAAAGTATTAGCAGGAGGCGTTTTATTAGGAAGTGATCACCATGCGTCATACGAGAAGATATGTGTTGATAATTTAGTGGCAGGTCTAATGCAGGTTATTTAATGCTTGGTACTTGGAATACTTTGTCTGATGACCAGAAAAACAGAATTCGCCATATGATGGTGTGTTTCTGGCCCTCATCTTTACATTTTATAAGCATTGAGCAGGGAAAATTCCCAGAAAGGGAAAAAAAGATTTTTTTATGACCACTTGTAACTCTTGCGAACCCAATCTGCATGCCACTTTTGTCCACGACGCAAATTTGGGAGAAATCAATAAACAGCTCATTTTAAAAGGGGTTCATTGCCCCCTCTCTATGCTGCCTGCCAGTGTTTGTCTGCCCCCAAAAAATCCCATGATTCATTGGCAGAAAAACGCCTGAACCTCCCTTACAGTGCCAGGTCAAACCTGGGCATATGTTTACGTTTGACGCCGTGCCCAACATCTGTCATTTTCACTTGAAAAAAAACACTGATGAGGGGCTTGTGTACCAGTTATCAGTATGAATATATCCCCTTACCAAGGTAGGGTTCATCATTGTTCTAACCACACACCAAGATGCCCATAACTTTTTGGTATTTTTCAATGTAAACTTCCAGTGTACCAATAATATCCAATCCAGCCACTGAAACAATCACAAAGCGCAAACAATTTTATCCCAAGCGTTCCTTTTGTTGGAGTACTGTTTGAAAAAGAGTCTTCCCTTTGAACAAAATAAAAGACTCGTCAATTACAAGCTTCCTGAAGGGATAAAAATACTATTGAATTTTTTAAACACCCCTTTCAAGGGGGTGAATTGCCGACCTAAAAATTACAGAAAACTTTCACGGCGCGCAAAACGGATAAAACCCCTAAAATTACTGGGAGCGCTTGGGGTTTTCTAAAACCTGTTTTTCCCCTGGAACGCAGGGGGAGAGATACATGATTATATACACCGGGAAAAATCCTAGGGGGGACTATACCGAACTTGCACACGAAAATCACTCACTACGAAAGCAAAAGATTTGGAGACGATGCACCTCCCCCCCTGAAAAGCAGGGTGTCATAGCACGTTAAAGACCAACAATAAGTGTCGGGGGCCCGGGGACTGTTCAACTGCCTCCCACACACATAGGGGATTACCAACAGACCCCGGGCATCTTAAAAGCGGGCACGGACAAGCACCTAAAGCAGTTCCGATAGCCGGGGCGTGGCTCGATTGGTTTGCGTGCACAGCGCAACACCTGGTTATCAGGCGCTGATCCACCAGGGGGCCCTGGTCACAGGGGGGGGCCGCGGGGGGCTTGACCCCCAAAAACTCCCCCGGGAAAACCCAATAACAAACACTTTCCCTAATTCAATAACCTGTCGTTTCTGTCGGGGCCTTTTTTTGCCTGAGAAGTGAAGCATATGAAATATAGCAAAAAATCGTTTCCCCATTATATCACGAAAGCGGGGGTTGCAACAGGCGCTGTTGACCAGTAGATTTTCACACTGTGTTTTAAACACATGGGCTAAGCATTATTGGGCAAAGAAAAGATACATCTCGGCACAGTTGCTCCTTCCACCTTTGTCCCTGAGTTTGGGGGAAAGTATTTGTTACCCATGGTGTACTCGTAGTATCTTTTTGTTTCCCCGAAAATAATTTCCTCAGGGGTTCTTTCAAAGAATAACTCAAAACATTCCGTTCATTTGGCTTTGTTCCCCAGGTCAACATGGCCGTATTCCACTTTGGTTTTCACAAACTGGTGGGGAATTTGGGAAACAAATTGACAGCTTCCTGCCAATCCCGGGTGCGGTCCTGGTGGGTACTAGACAATGACGGGTGGTTGAGG